TTTAACTGTTTTCCAATGTTTGAACTATTTTTGCATAGACTAAAGTACAAAGCAGTAAAAATCATTGATAGGCAATCGTTCGATGGACTGAATTGCACAAAACGCATGATCGCACCGGCTAGTCTGGTGCGCGTTGCTATTTATTTTTACTTCGTTTTTCTTCCCTTCTTCATCTTTTCTATTTCATTATTTTCTCTTTATCCTTTAATTAAAAACTATTTTATGTTGTAAGAAGCCCTTTAAAAGCCACAGAAACAAGAGGAGATGGGCTGATCATGTGGCACGGATGTCAAACAAACAGATGGATGAAGCGGATAATGGAATGGTACCCGTGCACAGTCAAGCGAACACTGGGAAGGCCATCAGTGAGAGGTGGAGAGATCCCATGGTACGCCTGTACGATAACGGATGGACTCGGAGAGCGCAACAACGAGAAGAATGGAGAAATTGCCAGATGTATCAATGGTGCGTGACAACGAAAATCAATGACATACAGTTGCTCAAGTATTTAAGTAAGTTACCACGTAATATTTCACATAATGATTTATGGCTTTTTGTTAGAAATTACGTAAGGAGCAATTGCATCACTACGATGCAACATCCCTGGTCCCCCCGCGTTCAATCTTTGGATACCATACCGCAGTTAGAGTTTTGCAATCTTTGTGATCTGTGGAATATAAAAGCACTCCTTCCCATCTCCAGGAACCACGAACATGGGATGAAGAAAGGAAAGACCACGAAAACAAGACGTGAAAAAAGAGGCAGTGGAACAGCATATGTTGTGAAAAAATGTTCAGGAGATGTAATAAGGACCTGTGGGAAGGCTGAATGTAAACTTGGCTGTCTGTGTGTTTCATCCCTAAGCTGCAAACACAGACAGTATTCGGTGTGGATTGGGGGGTGGGAATCGTCAGTGCAGCCCTCAATCCACCATTTGGAAAAGTTAATAACATATATGTAAGGTCTTGACCCCAGGCAGTCCTGAAAAAATTCTTGGTGTGTTGTACATTTGTGAAGTCCCAACAGATTAAGGTGGAAAGATCCCATGGTACGCCTGTACGGTATCGGATGGACTCGGAGAGCGCAACAACGAGAAGAATGGAAAAATTGCCAGCTGCATCAATGGCGTGTGACAACGAACGCTGATGACATATAGTTGCTCAAGTTTTCAAGTAATCATTTAAATATGTATTATCGCGACCCTACCAGTTAATATTTTTAGACTATTGGTATGCCCTATGAGTGTGTGTAAGTGAGTGCGTATGTATGTGGGTGTGTGCGTGGGTGTGGGTGTGTAAAACTCCTAGTGATATATATATATATTTATAAATACACAGAATATTAAAGAGATAATGCATGCAAAGGTGGTGAGGTTCTGGGAAGCCGAAGCTCCCTAGAATAGGAGTATAAGTTAAATAAAAATAGGTCGCACTGAGTAGTGGCGATCCCGGCGATGGGGAGTACTCTTATATCCCAGGGGACAAAGATCGAAAGTTCAATGAGGGTAGGA